CAAAATGCTGAAAAAAAAAGTGGGCAATTTTTTTGCGAACTTTTTTCATAAAAAATGCCGTAAAATCAAAACTTCACTCTTTCGCACAACCGACCGTCGTCTTTATAATGAGCAAGTTAGTGCGACCCTAGTACATTCGAGCGCAAGTCAAGATTTATCAAAGTATAGATTACTAGGAAAATGTTCAAAAACTTTTCGGGCTAGAAAATTTTTCTCAGAATGTCTACGATCCAACAAAAGATGCGCTATATTGCCGAAGGTTTGCTGTTTGCAGTAATTTTTATTGCGCTCAAAAAGATGGTTTTGGAAAAGAATTATCTTGATCAGGAATTGAAATCCAAAAACGTGCATTAATTATGTAACAAAATAATATATCCCAAATTCTAGATTCTCAGGAAGTCCAACACTGCTTTCAGCTTCTTCTGAAAACAACTCTAGAAAAGATTATAACATTCCGACGATTATGCGATTTTTAAATATGTCACGACGGAAAAATTCATCGCAAACCGTGTTTTATTAGGGGCACAACTGTATCTCTAATAACGATGACCATCAATAACTCTCGGTTCTTTTTGTAATGTTTCTCATGTGGCCCATACGATTTAGGTGTAATTTGTAGATGCCCAACTGATCTAGGCAAGATTTGGTCTTGTTGTACAGCCTGTAAAATTACTTGTAATTTATATAGCATAAAAATGATAAAAGGGGTTGTATCGGTCGCTTCCAAGTCTCTTTGGAGCTATGAAAGTTGTTCGCTGCAATCTTGCTGTATTAGGCCTCGGACATACCTCACGCAATTTCAGTCTCCACGCGATCTGGCAGTCTGCCATATCTCTTTGAATCCAACACCTGGAGACTACAAATTCAAATTATGGTACAACTTTCGCAAGTCGAGAATATGCCCAACTTTCGCTCAATCGGAATGCGCTTACGATGAGTTATAAGCAGTTGGAGTATTGCCAAGTAGCGTCGCGGCTGAAATCGCGTAAGGTATGCCCACGGCCTTACGGCGCAATCCCCCTAGTCTATCCTAGAATTTTGGGGCGTTTCGTTGCGTCTTCAGTGAGTTGCAGTGGCAAAACTTCAAGCTTAAAATTTCCAGCTTCTGGCTGGTCGCATCTGAATTTGCTAGCGTTGCATTCAAATTTTTTGAGTTTACTGTTACTAAATACCTACAATCGTTCTTCAATTGAACGGACATTCTACTACACAATATGTTCCTTGCAGCTTGTTCATATCGCAAGCTCACAGCCTTACTGTAACATCGGATCTTCATCGTCAAATTTTCTACCGATTCTTCAACAGTAAGTACAACGAACGGAATTAGAGTGATAAAATCAAACATAAATGAGTGAGCTCAAGCAAACACAGATAAAGATCTTTTTTTGCATATCTTGTAGGAATCTCCCTTCACCAAGAATTTTCGATGATAACTATGAAAAGTACGAAAGGCTTGCAATGGTAGATTATAAGATTGTCTATCAACTGCACATAGCGATTACGGGATAATGGAGCGCAGACAGGTTGAAGTGACTTTTGATTCAAATGGATTGGCGGCTGGAAGGCGGGACTTTATGACCTAATTAAGGCCGCTCGTGCCCGCAACGCAGACTGCGTCTCTCTCGCGCGCGTGCTCTCTGATCATTCTCAGGCCTCAATTAGGTCACAAAGCCGCGCCTTCCAGCCGCCAATCCGGGTGAATCAAAGGGTACAGAAATACTCATAAAATAGCTGCCTTCACTTTACGGTTAGATCCAGAAGACATATCTAAACACATACGTACAATCCGCTCGAATTTTTGAAAAAACGACGCATAGTCGCCCAACTCATGTGACATTACCGTAGCGTGACCATATCTCACTTTAGAGTGGACGAATTTTCAATTCAAGGACAGAACGCCCGTAAAAGGGCTCGGGACTGGGAGGAGTTGCAGGTGCGCTCTATTGCTATTTCGATTAGAGCACCTCTTTTCAGCTGGAGCGCACTACCTCTAAATACTTGTGCATCTGACAAGGAGTGTCACCGGTGATGAAAGGTTGCTGATGTATGACTGTTGCACGGCTGCAAGTACGAGTTATGAGATTGACTGAGGAAGAGATTGCTACATGTTATCCGGTAAACTAGAGAAAGTTGTTGAAGTATGTAACGCAACAAGTTACACCAGTGTAATTAGTCACTGTTACGATTGCTTCCTCTTTTAACATCATCCTCCAACACTTCACAGTGACGTCATTTCTATATATGGCTATGGGTACACGTACATACTTTACATCGCTATGAAATTCGTCTGTAAAACGTTATGTTGAAGAGCTAATATTTTTTTGGTATGATCGATTGTCCCACGCACAGTTTTGGACTTTTAACTTGAACTCCATAAAAGTAAGTGATTCCATTGTATGTTACATTTTATTGTTCGTTTCCACACATATTATGATCAAGCTGACATTGGATATGTCCTGCACTTACTCGAAGAATTGCTTTCGTGTTTTCTTATGTATAGCTGCTTTGTTTGTGGAGCTATACTTGTCGAGCTGTTACACCTAGCATCGTTCGCCAAAGTTGGCTCAGAGTTCACATATAACTTGAAAGAAGGTCATTTGTCCAATCTTCAATTGGGTAGCTGCACAATGATTTGACGCTTGAATAGGCGTTAGTTTAAATGCAATTTACAAAGAAGGGGTTACCTAGTATTCTTTTCGACGAAAGTATGTTACTGAACTCAATTCTAGACTGGTGCGCGAGACGCATCCATGGAATATTGCTATTTAGTGCTTAGCAATCTACGAAAGCAACGTTATCAATAAGGATCAGATTTTGTGCTTCAAAAATAACCGAGAACTCGTTTCTGCTCACAATTTCTGCTCAGGGTGCAACCAGATTCAAGAAATCTTCTATGTTGTGCAATTTCCTTCTTCGACAACTTACCAATCAACTTACCTTGTATCGTTTGCACATTACCTTTGATGTTCATCAGTAGAATTCGCTGATGGTGAACGAAACACCTAGCTTCATCGAGAAAGGCAATCGAGAGAACAGCAAACGATCCCTACCAAATGCTAACATACATCTGGAGATCGAACACATTTTCGTGTAAACAACCAGAAAAAGAAACTGTATAAGCATAATAGGATTGAACCCGATGCCCAGTAAGCGCTTCATGTGATGACAGATTATATTGTTCGGGAACTTCCTCTCTAACACCGTGAGACAGCAATGCCATCTCATTTTCAGTCCTCCTGAGTTTAGTGAGAGTTATGCATTCCAATAATACATCAACATCCTTTCATCACTGATGATATACAATATATAATATGGATATATTTGCCCCAAGCTTTGCTTCTCTGCAAGCGGGATGTTCATGAAGCGAAAAGTCTCCTACTCGGAAGAGCACAAACGAATTAGGAAAACCAAACAACATAGTTTTCGACTCTCTGACTATGTACGTTAACATTCCAAATTTTCAACGGATGCAAAAGAAAAGACACGTACTCATCGCCATACCTACTATATACGAACGGCGTCAAATGTATCAAACTTGAAGTGTTTGGAGGTAGTGGGCTCCAGTTGAAAATAGGTGCTCTGATCGAAATGGCGATGGAGCGCACCTGCAACCCCTCCCAGTCTCGAGCCCTTTTACGGGCGTTCTTAAGGACACCGTTCGACTCAGCTCGGCGCGGAGCATCTTATGATGTATAAAGTGCCTCTTTGGACAAGTAGCAGGCCAGATTCTACGAAGTATCTAATTTTTGCTCACGGTAGGTTGCCCAATGAGCGCAATGACAAGCACATTAGATAACCTAAATAAAAATCTTTCTTCTGTGTCCAGGCGGCCACTTCTATATATCAGAAGATTCGCGGCGCTGAGATGGGTCGAACAGCACCCTTGGATCAAAAATTCTTCCATTTTGAAGCGAGATGTGGCCATACTACGGCGATGTCGCATGAATCGGGCGACTGTGCGTGCTTTTTAGTACATGGCAGATCGAAGATATGCAGTTGGGAAATACTTAAAATAACAGAAACAAAAAGATAGAGATTTATTTTGATTTTGAAGACACATACATAAGAGCCTGGTTATTTATGAGAGCTATACATACCAAATGATTCGAATTACGAAACAATGCCAAGATGAAACATAAAAACGTAGATACCGTATTCTTTATTCAAAGCCACACTCCTCAGTAGTTCAGATATCTGAAGGTCATAAGCCACCACGTCCCCGGCAGGACGAAATGGCATAGCTGGAATCACGAATGGTAATGAGAACTGAAAATCATTTAAGTCGAGCTAATTTTTACAACTAGAGCACACAAGGACACTAGTAAATTTTGCAACTTTTGAGCCAAGGAGGTAAGCGTGCAAAAGAATGAATTGAGGAAAAGATGTTACAGGTCGGGGGTCGCTTCCTCTTGAAGGCATAGCTTGGCAAACTCCGTCTCTTATATTTTTTAGCATTTTCGAAGAACTGCTGGAAAGGCGGGATCACGGATTCGCGCACTCGGAAGCGATTGGCTGCCGGACTTCATAAGGGCGGAGACACTACACCCATTTGGCGGCGATTGGCCGGCTGGCTCCAGAAGCCAATCGCTCCTGCTCAGACAGTCGAAGGGATACCTCCGGCGGGCAAATGACGCGAGTCTGCCACTTCGCGCTCTGCAGCGCTTCGGAGCCCTGCCACACCAATTTTGGTGCTCCGTGACGTCAAGGACCCCTCTCCGGGACGCACAAATCTCTGCTCCGGAGGTGCGCCAGTTTTGGGAGAGCCTCGGAGCACCAAAATGGGTGAAATGGCAGGGCTCCGGAGAGAGAGCGCGAAGTGGCAGACTCGCGCCATTTGCCCGCCGGAGGTATCCCTTCGAGTGTCTGGGTGAAAGCGCGAATCTTTCATCCAGCCTTACCAGAGTCAGCACGGCAGATATGCGACAAAAAAATCATTCTTCAATTTTGTGAGGTTTCAAACGTATGGTTAAACACAGCACTCAAGCCTCTTGAAAAAAGTATTACAGAATAGCGAATCTGCCAAGACTGCTTTGCCTGTAGCCCCTTTCACACCGATATACGATTGAAATCTCCTTTGTAAACCATTTCAGCAAGTCATCCTCTTGTGAGCCATTAATGGGACCATCATGATACCAGAAACTATCGGTGGACCCGATAAAATGCGATATCTGCAAAAGAAGACAGGATTTGCTCAAGCGAAGAGAACGACATCTAGACGAACCTTGGCGATAAACTCGTGATGTGCAAGAAATTCTGCCATATTATCAGGGAGCTGGCACTCAAGCATGATCAGACAAGCAATTCTTGAAGCCTCGAAGAACTCAACCAGTACGTTTCCTTCACAATCGAAATCAACACCGTAGAAGATCATTGCACGAATATGCACACGATTGTGTAGCAGTTCTCTGATCAAATACTTGACTAAAGATGCTTCGAACGAGATCTGAATTGCTCAAACAGTTTCCCAAATAGAGAATAGAACATTTTTCCATTTCGAGCTCACCTTGTAGAAAATTGTCTGCTGGATGTAAGCATGGGCACATGAACTTAAGCGATTAGGCAATTCTTTAGGGTCTGATAACACAAAACGCTTAGGACCCTGGTCAAACGCAGGATGCTAAAATAATACATTTGTTTTCACTTCGCTTATTTTCCGATCGACTCCTATTATATGTTTCGATCCGTCTAGACCGAGATGAGGTGCCCTATATGCCCCCGGGGAACGTCCGGAAGGCGACAAATGACCTATAGGGAGCGATTGGCTTCTGGAGCCAGCCGGCCAATCGCCGCCAAATGGGTGTAGTGTCTCCGCCCTTATGAAGTCCGGCAGCCAATCGCTTCCGAGTGCGCGAATCCGTGATCCCGCCTTTCCAGCAGTTCTTCGAAAATGCTAAAAAATATAAGAGACGGAGTTTGCCAAGCTATGCCTTCAAGAGGAAGCGACCCCCGACCTGTAACGTCTTTTCCTCAATTCATTCTTTTGCACGCTTACTTCCTTGGCTCAAAAGTTGCAAAATTTACTAGTGTCCTTGTGTGCTCTAGTTGTAAAAATTAGCTCGACTTAAATGATTTTCAGTTCTCATTACCATTCGTGATGCCAGCTATGCCATTTCGTCCTGCCGGGGACGTGGTGGCTTATGACCTTCAGATATCTGAACTACTGAGGAGTGTGGCTTTGAATAAAGAATACGGTATCTACGTTTTTATGTTTCATCTTGGCATTGTTTCGTAATTCGAATCATTTGGTATGTATAGCTCTCATAAATAACCAGGCTCTTATGTATGTGTCTTCAAAATCAAAATAAATCTCTTTTTGTTTCTGTTATTTTAAGTATTTCCCATCTGCATATCTTCGATCTGCCACGTACTAAAAAGCACGCACAGTCGCCCGATTCATGCGACATCGCCGTAGTGTGGCCACATCTCGCTTCAAAATGAACGAATTTTTGATCCAAGGGTGCTGTTCGACCCATCTCAGCGCCGCGAATCTTCTGATATATAGAAGTGGCCGCCTGGACACAGAAGAAAGATTTTTATTTAGGTTATCCAATGTGCTTGTCATTGCGCTCATTGGGCAACCTACCGTGAGCAAAAATTAGATACTTCGTAGAATCTGGCCTGCTACTTGTCCAAAGAGGCACTTTATACATCATAAGATGCTCCGCGCCGAGCTGAGTCGAACGGTGTCCTTAAGAACGCCCGTAAAAGGGCTCGAGACTGGGAGGAGTGCAGGTGCGCTCCATTGCCATTTCGATTAGAGCACCTATTTTCAACTGGAGCCCACTACCTCCAAATACCACGTTTGACACATTTGACGCCGTTCGTATATAGTAGGTATGGCGATGAGTACGTGTCTTTTCTTTTGCATCCGTTGAAAATTTGGAATGTTAACGTACATAGTCAGAGAGTCGAAAACTAATCCGCTGTCGTTTGGTTTTCCTAATTCGTTTGTGCTCTTCCGAGTAGGAGACTTTTCGCTTCATGAACATCCCGCTTGCAGAGAAGCAAAGCTTGGGGCAAATATATCCATATTATACATTGTATATCATCAGTGATGAAAGGATGTTGATGTATTATTGGAATGCATAACTCTCATTTAAGTCAGTAGACTGACTGAAAATGAGATGACATTGCTGTTTCGCGGTGATAGAGAGGACGTTGCCGAAGAATGTACCTATCTGTCATCACATGAAGCGCTAATGGGCATCGGGTTCAATCCTACTATGCTTATACAGTTTCTTTTTCTGGTTGTTTACACGAAAATGTGTTCGATCTCCAGATGTATGTTAGCATTTGGTAGGGATCGTTTGCTGTTCTCTCGATTGCCTTGCTCGATGAAGCTAGGTGTTTCGTTCACCATCAGCGAATTCTACTGATGAACATCAAAGATAATGTGCAAACGATACAAGGTAAGTTGATTGGTAAGTTGTGGAAGAAGGAAATTGCACAACATAGAAGATTACTTGAATCTGGTTGCACCCTGAGCAGAAATTGTGAGCAGAAACGAGTTCTCGGTTACTTTTGAAGCACAAAATCTGATCCTTATTGATAACGTTGCTTTCGTAGATTGCTAAGCACTAAATAGCAATTTTCCCTGGATGCGTCTCGCGCACCAGTCTAGAATTGAGTTCAGTAACATAGCTATGCTTTTTCCTGATATTACAATATTTTGAAAGGTGTATCGGGCCGCGGTCAGTCTCAAGCGTAAATCTGGAGGAACACAAACGTATGCGAAGCCTAGACCTGTTTTTCCACCATGTCTCACTGGGTATGTTTGTTATCTGGTTTTATTAGCTCTAGTAGTTTCGTTTTCAGTAGAGAGAATCCTTTTGTGGAAAATATTGTCGAAGACGAAGCGGCACCCTCAGATATCCAGATGGAATTAGAAGTTCCACAAGGTTCAGCTTTTGCCTTCTTTCCTTTCTGTTATGTTTCCTAGACTTTGTTTTTCAGGTAACGTGTACGAAAGACGCGAGTTTCACGGTGAAACTCCCCTACGAGGAGTTCAGCCTCTTCCGTTGCCTAGATCACTTCATGAATGCGTTGAGAACGGAATCTTGCACATTGACAGGGCAGCCCGTTTAATTTTATCGAAGATGCATCGCCAGGAGTTTAACGAAGCGGTCTATTACGTAAGTACGAGTACATTGTTTTTGATAAAAACATACAAATTCTTTTTAGGAGTTTATCACATCCGATATCGTATTACGCGCTAAAGTCACTTACGGCAGTTTGAATTGCATGGTAGGATCGGACATCCACTCGCTATGGCATATTGCTAATCGCGTGACAGTACGGCTGCACATTCTGGGATGTCATATATGCTTTGACTTGCTCAACCTGATTTAGGATTGATTCAATTCAATTCATCCTGATTCAATCTGATTTTTTTTGTGTTTTCTTTACAAGTATTGTTCAGTTTCTTCTATTTAGTGTTTCATCTTTCGTAATATAATGGTACCTTGCTTCAAACTTTCATCAAGATCTCCGTGTTCACTGCCTCAGTGTCATGATTCTGACAGGATTCCGGTTTTTTTTTGCTTAATCAGGTCATTCTTACCGGTGTCTATCAGGCTTTCTCAGTATCAGCATGGCTGTTATGCTTTACTTGTATTCGGTAGGGGCTTAGCGTAAAAGGTATTGATGATTTTATAGTTGTTGCCTGTTGTGTTCTGCTTTTGATTCTGTATTATGTCTTTCTGTAAGTCTTTGGATAATAAATCTGCCATAATCATACCTGTACACATGTTTAGCAATAAATCTGAGGGTATGAGGTCGTATTTCAATGACAAAAGATGAAGTTTATCAAAGGATTGCTATCTGTATCACAATAGGGTCCTACAACGCTTTCGAAGGAGCGGGCGAGCGGCGCGCCTTCAGCGAGCGAGCCGCGTACCTTCATTCCACGGGCGGCGGGAGGCATGAGCGCTCGCACGCTCATGGCGCGCGGGCCGTCGGAGAAAGTGTCTGAGTTTGGATTGGGGCGCCTTTACACACATTGCGCATGGCTCTCTCAATCTCAGACTTTGTCGTTTCTTCTCACGTTGTTTTTTTGAACATGTTTGTTTTGTGTATGTTATTGCTCACTGTGGTAATGTGGTGATTTGCATTCTTTTGTATTTGCCTATCTGTAAGCATATGCTCTTCAAAACTGCCTTTGTAGTAAATTTTGTTTCAGGCTGCAGCAATATTTATAGTGCAATAAAAGATCTTCCTAGTAAGGAGGTTAGCAGATACCTGCGTTCTTGAGTGATGTGTTACTTCTGTATTTTTTCATAAGTTAGGTGTTTAGTTAACTATACCATATTTTTAAATGTTAATTAGTTCTTGTGCAGACCTCGTCCAAGTTGACGATGTCGAACGGATAGAATGTGAGTAGACCACTCAACGACGGTACTGTAAGCCAGTTGTATCAAGTAAAGGTGAGCTATTATTCTTTTGCATCCTCTTTGCAATACACTTTCCTTCAGGCTGAACATGGAAGAAGATTTGGCGCACTTCGAGCAAGGACGCATTCTGCGGTGGGATCTCGATTTTGAGATTGTTCGTGCACTTCATTTTTTTGAATTCAGCTGTCGCTTGCAATGCACTGTAATGTGTTAATGATAATAACCATTCTTTTTTTCTTATTGTTAGCATCGCTGCTTTTTTTCATTGAGAATAAATGATTATTGTTCAAACTGTAGGACCGAACAGCGCGGAAAAGCACGAGAAAGGTCATAGAATTGATTATGGACAGAATGCGGGTTTGCTAAGCGGGTTGAGTAATTGGACAATTTTGAATTTCCGGCAGAAAAGTTTGTATTTCTTCCACCGAAAGGGAGCTGATTTGCAGCAGTGTGATCATTTTGATTTATCTTGTCTGTTTGAACAATACTACGCTCTGTCTTTGTCATGTCCTGATTACCGTTTATGACAAGCTCAGTGTAGCGATGCATGATCTATGAATCTGAATGTGACAAATCGACTCCGTGAATCACAAGAATGAAGATCGTCAAAAAACTGCACGCTCAGATAAAAAGAACGCGCTTTTGAAGAAATTGAAAGATTTGTTTATAACTCGTCTTCTGGACGATGAATTGCGATTATGTTCTCTCATTTGTTTCAAAGCTATAGTGAAGTGTTTCGTAGGTCTGTAATGTTTGATCTTTCTAATCTTGAATTGAGGAAACCAAAAGTTGTACAACCAAATTTATGGACAAGTATCAACAAGAGATAAAGAAGTTTCAAGTGACACATTTACTCCGTACACTGCTTAGCCCATTATTGACCAGTAGTTTGACCCTAGGCAACAAGTACATCAATAAGAACTCCGAAGAATGCTGTCACCATTAGTGCGCCAGCGCATGTGCCGAGAGAGCGTCAGTCGTGGCGTGACTGACCTCGCGCTCGGTGTCACAGGCGTTCGTGAGGGGCGTGGTCTCTATGCGCTCGCTCCAATTGGGTTTTGTCGCCTTCCGGCCTACACCCTATGCCCCCCCCCAACAAAGGCAGGGACCGTAATCAGGCCCTCCGCAGGCTCTTCGTGCCGGGACCCAAGCGCGCTTTTCTCACTGTCCTTTGATTCACTTCCCGTTTCTGTGATTGAAATGCGGTGGTCGTTTACGATCTGATATC